GAAATAGTGTTTGTTTAACTCAACTACATTCATTTAACTCGCGTTCAGTCTCAAAATGTTAAAAGGTAAAATACATATAACATGTGATGTGTTATACTCCAGAGAATCAAACCCAGTGAGTGAGTCATGCTCGTGTTTTTCTGTTTTTATATACAGTCTATGGTTTGAACCAGTGAACAGTGTGAATATGTTCAAAAACCGTTTCATTAGTTAAATTGGCATTGAGTCTGTAAAGTTGTTTTTTTTAGGTGCATTTGAAAGCATCACATGTTTTTGTAAAAGGAGGGAAACGACTGCAGGCGGGAAACAAGGTTCTACAGCGCCACTAGCGGTTATATAGGAGAATTACACACAAACAGATCATCCATCCATCTATCTGTTCATCAGTCTATCTATCTATCTATCTATCTATCTATCTATCTATCTATCTGTCTGTCTGTCTATCCATCCATCCATCATCAATCTATCTCTATATAAATACAGACCATTTATCATTTATTTCTTTATTACGTTAAAGTTCATATTTCACGAGAAGCAGTTAAACGTACAGTGGTCTTCGATCATCGTCCACTGAGAGCGACAGTTAGTATCATGGCAACCACACCCCCTCCCCCACACAGTTGCCGAACCAATGAACAGGCAGGAATAAATAAATATACGTACAATACACAAATAAACAGCAACAACGTGTGCATATGCTAACACACACAGCTCACCAGAAGATAGCACGTTCCAAAGGCTGAGGGCAGTTTTATACATATACATTATATTTTATACAAACAGTTTCATGGAACAGCCACAGGTCAGAGCGAGGCCACATCACAGAAACCACGGTTCAATTCCACAAAGGTTCTCTAACCTCATCTCTTTGGTTCAGTCTGATTTTACAAAACGATTCCGTGATCAAGAGGGTCATTGTTTTTTTATTTCAAATGTTCTGAATTTAAAAGAATAAAAGTTGTGGTTGTGCTCAAAACTCCCCGAAGACACAATTAGACATTTTCACAAATATACGCATGAGACCAATGAGATCTATCATGTCCATTGGTTAAAGTACAGGGCTCGTTGATTTCCCCTGGTCCCTGACTTTTTGCTTAGCTAAGCTAAGCTAACTGTGTCCTGGCGTCATATTCAACATCCAGACACAAGAGACTTCTCTGAACCATCGAATGTCAAACTGGATTTTTCATAAAACTCCACAACACTTTCATTCTGCTTCCATTTGAACACCGAGAGACTCAAAGGCTGTTGTGGATCTTTAAAACAACAGTTTGTTGCTGAGCAACAGATCCGTCAGTCCCAGAGTGGACGTTGAACTGAGACGTAACGTGGCCGAGATCTGAGCGTCATGGAGGTGAGAGGGGGAAATGCAGGGAAACACAACAAGTCCCTCATTGAGGTTCAAATACTGTTCACCACTGAGAAGAAACCAGCTCCGAAGAAAAGACGAGACAACAACCAGAGAAAATTAAATTAAAATCAGATTCAAGAAAGTTCAGAGACTCTTAAAGCACTTGGTAGTTTGAAGAAGAGCGTCACACAAAGAGCGTGAGCAAGTCAAACGTAAAAAACAACTACAAGATAAATTAACTGGAAGAAAAATGAGTTTCAGCTCAAAGTTTGTTATTGTGTTGTTGTCACATGATTTAGAGAGAGAGAGAGAGAGACATAGAGGGAGAGAGAGAGAAAGACAGAAAGGGGTAAATGGATGGACAGACAGAGAGAGAGAGAGAGAGAGAGAGATGGATAGATAGATAGATAGATAGATAGATAGATAGATAGATAGATAGATAGATAGA